ACATTCGCCTTTGCATCTACGCAGGTTCATGCACACGTCACACTGCCGCTGATTACTACCTGGAGTTACTGTAGTGACTGGGGTGCTGGACACGAGAGTAGCGAGGCTAGGCGAGGATTCATGGGATTCGGTCGTGCATATGGCTGCAGGAAGGGAGATTGGTGTCCTCGGGGTTTGCCGCATACACTTCTGAGGACAAATATTATCGCCGACCTTTGCAGAACAGTGTAGACAGTCCGTCGGGCGGTCTGATTGTGGTCGCTTCAGATTTGGACGACTGGAAGGCGATACATGAGTTGAAGATTGCGCACATTCTGGGGCTGTTGCACCTTTCTCTTCGTTTTCATTTCGCCGAACATACGCAAATCCTGATGATAGAATGGGCGAGGGCAAACAGGAGGGGAAGTGGTGGGTGGAGATGATGGGGGAGGTAGACTCTTTTGCAGTTGGTGCGACGGTGCAAACACTTGTTTCCCCCTGTGAACATGTGCCGGAGGCGGTGGATTCGGATGCAATGTGTTTGTTCGACACTATTTCAAGAGAAAGTGGTCAAAAGTGTCTTGTTAAGGAGACTGTCTCAGCATTCTATCCTGTGCATAACAAACCTACACGTAGACGATCATATCGTGTTGGGGTGTCATTAAAGTATTTTTGTCTGCTTTGACTTGAAGGATATTCCATATTATAACGAACCACGGTATCAGTGAATGAGCCTGATTTTCGCTTTAGCTGAGGACCTTCTATACCGTTTTGTTTTAATTGGCGACACTAATAGGATAGCTAAGCGCAGACGAAGTAAAACTTCTGGGGAAGCCGAGGAACTACGGTAGATGTGCGTACTCATGAAATGTTAACGTTAATTCCGAAATGTGTCTTATTTTTAAAAAGTTTTGTAGGTGGGGTTTTAAAATTCTATAATAAATGAGTTTCTTTAAGATGTCGGCTTTCGAATGAACTTGTTTCCGACCGCATGCAGAAAAAATACACTGTAAAAGATACTACTTAGGTAGCATGGCTTTTTCTCATTGATTTCCGATGCCATTTAAACTTCAATTATATTTCATGGAAAACATGCGTAAAAATATTCATTCTTTGACTTCTTTGGCAGAAAATGTTGTCTTATTCTAATTTTATATTCGAAGAAAGGGTAAAATTATGTTTTCAATGACCTTTCCAATTACCGAATAATTTTGAATCCTAACTGTCGTTAGACTTACATTCAGGGTTTTCAACCTATAAACCATATTTTTACCGCGTACTAAAAACCCTATATTTCTCTGCGGTAACACAAAGAGACCATATAGAATTCATAAAAGTTTGCAGTGGATCTCAGCTCTATTTTAAATTTTACAAGCCACATTAGTAAATGCAGAGAAATGATGTTTTATGAACGGACATTTCACGGTATTAAAAAATCTCATAATTAGAAACATTTTAAAATCCTAATTATTTCCTTTCTTTGAGTAAGCACACCAAATGTATATATAGCGAAGGTGTATATTATTGAAACGTAGACAATTATATCAGGATGGGGGGAAGGGGGTGGAGGGAATCGTGAATTTGTCCCAGATCGTCGAATAGGCACGCATGCTATCCGCTTTCCAATCAAACATACAATTTGGAAGTCCGGAAGCTTCAATAAATGATGCAGCCAACAAGAGCCTCTTTGAAAGCCTACTCGTCTTCTTGCGCCGGATGCGAAATAGGCAGTCCCAGTTTCAATGTTGGAAAGTCAACTAGGTATAATCTGCGATCCTCAGAGAAAGTAATCTTTGTGTATCCATAGATAGTTTATTAAGCTCCGTTTATTTGTAAAAGACTATGGTTCAGGCGTTTTTTACAGTACCTTTTACATGTAGTATAAAATTTTTCTCATTTTGATATCTGAGCTCACGTGCGGTTGGTTCGAACTATTTCTCGCATAAGCATTAACTGAGAGTTTGGGCAGATCTTTCATTTGCAGAGCTGCGGACAGCTCCAAACTGCAAACAAGGTTTATTTTTGTCACTTACGCTGTTTGTTGGAATAATGTTCCCGCGGAAATTATAAAGTATGGCTATATGGCTCACATCGAGGTCCTGTTGGATGCAAGCCAGTTTATTCAGCTAAATCTCAGTACTCCTTCCCATTTACAAGCCTATCGGTATGTATTGCTCGGAGATTCTTTACTACATTTTAAGTAATTTAGTGTACAACATACAAATCACTAAAGAACTCAACACTGGCTATAATGGCAGTTATCGAAAAAACGTTTATTTCTAACAGCCAAGCACCGTATTTTCCCTCTTTGGCATGTCACGCCAGCCGAGCAAAGACTTCCATCTGAGAAATATTTAAACATGGAGCTGAGATTAACAAGGTCTTCTGGGTGACCGTTTTCGTTAGGTTGGACAAGGGAGAAGGTAGGGAGTGGCAGTGTGACATTCGCCAACGTGCTCTCGGCAGACGTTTGCTTGTCGTCTTCACAATGTCGATAGCAGCTTGCTTCTATTAAACCTCCGTTTATGTGCTTGCGTCTTGTGCATGTTGAAACGTGAATATGTGTTCAAGTGCATTAGTTGGTGCCAGCTGTGAGCAGTGACAATCGTCTTTCTTTCTTTCGTTCCTTCTCTCTCTCTCTCTCTCTCTCTCTCTCTCTCTCTCTGCGTGCAAGCACTGTTCGAAGGTCTTCAGTATAGATGGCGGGGCCTTGCACGTGCTGGTACCTGGTCGTAAATGAATGCATACCAGGTAGTGTAGGGAGGCTGCCAAAAGGCATTCACCATCGCCACCTTAAAAGGCCAGAGCAGAGAACAGCAGCTGACTGTCATAGATGACTCATGCGGTTTGCGAAATCTCACAGAATCCATTTGCGCAATAGTTTCATATTATAAGCTCATATATGCAACTGTCAGTTCTGCCGATGCACTGAATTGTGGTTGGCAATGAATGCCGTAAATGTGTTAGTGATGCCTTTTACTGCCCATGTCACTTCTAGGCATTAACCTTGGGTAAGTTTTCGCCAAAAGTTTTGTGACATCTAAGAGCTGTAGTGGGCGCGAACAGTCCCTGCTCCCGACGTTAGTTAAAGTGATTTCACGACTGTTCTGTAGTTGGCCATGATCTTCGAACCAAATCGTATCGTGAGGCAGTCCAGGGGTTCAACTGAATAGCCGGTATCCACGGTCCTGGTTAGCAATTTCGTCTAAACATAATTTGACGGTTTATTATTATTCCTGGATTCCGAAACCCGTCCATACGCCGAGTTCTCTTATCGTCGACCTGGTTGAATTTCGTAAGAAAAAAGATCGACAAGT